CTAGAACTAGGTACCAAAAAATAACGATGTGGGACATTTAAACACCACTTGATCATTATAAAATAAAACAATAATTACAATAAGTTTTCTCCATTATATGATTTGTATATATCTAGGCCCACTACATTACCAGTTTAATATATTTCATTATATGATCTGCATGGTAACCGCACAACTAGATACTGTACAAATAGACAAATATGTTGCAAATCTGCAAGCTCTTCCTTTAAGTATGTTGCGAAGTTATAAAAATTAACACCACTCTAAAATTATTAGGTGTCTAAATGCCCCATTTCCTAATTTTTTTAGGTGTCCAATTGTCTGGTATCTAGTTGTCCGGTTACAATTAATCTATTATAATAATATTCAGTTTTTGTCTGCCCTGAAAATGTGCGAGCACCTTACTATCTGAATGTGCATGCACTCCATGTCAACGGATGTAAATATACTTTTGTAGAGATTTTGTACAAAAACATAATAAATGCTCATCAAAATTTAAAAAAAAAGGTTTAACGTTAGGTCGTATAATAACATTATAAGTTTTTTTTTGACAGTATTAAGTACGGTAAAGTTTAGCCCTAATCAAACTAAAGCAGAAAACGTACACAAGTTACAATGTTAATTTATCTCTATCGAATACGAGCCGTACTTAATAAAGGCTTAACTAATATTAGGCCTAAGACAAGTGGACTTACAAGTTTAGGCGTTTGCGATTAGATTTATTTTGTATTATTCAATTTATTCTAGAAATCCTGTATTCAAAGGAACAAGTGCTGTTGCAATAAAGACACTCAGCGCCGCATTAAGACACTAGTGGATTTCCTCTTGTTTTTAAGAAAATACCATATAATTTGATAAACTAAATTAAGTGATAAAAAATAGTAAACAAATAAAAAGGAAAAAATGTATTAAAATCGGGTTAATTATTATTATACACTTAATATATTATTATTACATTCGCAACGCGCAGTGGGCCATGGGCTACTCTCCCTCTTGCAAATTGGATAAAACGGTCCTGAAGATACTAATTTGACCTCAAATGTTTTGCGGGTCTCTGCCAGTATCGATTAAAAAATTGTTAGAGGTAGTTAAAAAAGAATTAGAAATTTTGATGAAGTCTGTTTGTTTTAGAACTTTAGAGCAAAACTGTACACCTGCTATCTGTGCGTAGTCGTCCCTAATTTTGAACTAATGAAAGACATCTAGTACAGTGGTTCTCAACCTCGTTTGGCTAATGATCAATCTTTAAGCTTATGGCCAATCGCCTTTGGTGCAAAATATATCTGGATTAAATGTTTAATAAATAAATAAATTGTTATTTATTTTTAAAGTCTGTTCGTGACCCTTTAACACAATCTAACGATCCATGGAGGATCTAGTCAATAGCATTCACTGCCAAGCCATGTCTGACGGAATGGTAGGTCTTGTCCATCACTTTATATTGCAACCACTGCCCCGAAATGTGGAGCACGTTTGTGCGCAAAACTGGACACGAACCGTGGATTCACAATCCAAGCACGCTACTAGGCCGTGCCCGTTCCCTTTCCTTGGCACTAAGTTTGTTAAATAAGACTTCTAAGTTTGCTGTACATTA